TATATTTGTTTATTTATAAATAACTGTTTATTTACAAATATTTGTTTAATTATAAACAATTATTTATTTATAAATATATTTATTTATTTAATTAATTCATTAAAAATAATAACTTTTATTTATAAAATATGTTACGGTGACGTGACACCTCCCCCCCCAAATCGAGCATGGTGGTGGAACGAAGTGAAACGACATGGTCGACAATTTTATATATTAGTAGATTTAATATTTTTTTTTTTGTTTTTTGTTTACATATACTATTTAAAAGAAATTACATAGATTATTTTAACGAAGATTAACAATATTTGTTATAAAATGGTTTAAATTGTTACATAAATTATTTAAGCGAAGGTAAGTATATTTCTTACAATAAGTTTTATTTTGTTATTTTAATTTTCGACCTTAACTAACACATCAATTCCCTGTCTGATTTGTTTTTTGCTATTAAGAAATTGTTCAATACATGCTAAACATTCAGATGCTTTACAACGAGGTGTAATCAATTCTTCTCTACACATATGACAGTATGTAAAAATTCTATTTATATTGGCGATTGAATGCCATGCAAAAAATTCTGTATATTTTAATTTGTCTGTGTCATTTAATGTTTCGAAGCAAAATGAACATAACCTAACTTCTGTTTTTTCATTGAAATACATAAATAAAATGTGCGGCAACATCATCATACATGAGCATCCAAGTAATAGACTATATGTGGCGGGATGATTAATTGGTTTTACACCGTCTATTGTTTTATTTGTAACAATTTTTGGAATTTCCATTGTAGGAATCATATTGTATATATATATATATGAGGCATTCTTCGTCAACGGGACCCCCCTGCTCTCCAAAAATGGTTTATGTTTAAATTATCGGGCATAGGCTTAAAATTTAGCTAAAAAGGAATACTTTTAAATGCCGAATGGCATTTTTTTAAATTTCAAAATGGCGGCTGAAATATGGCGGGCGAATTTTCAAAAATTAATTTAATTCGCTTGAAACTTGTTACTCGGGGGTTTTTGGGGTCGCTGATTACGAATCTGAAGTCAGAATTTCAAAATTCAATATTATGGATCTAATATGGCCGCCAATTTTTTAAAAACTGATTTGATTTGCTTGAAACTTGTTACTCGTAGATTTTTGGGGTCGCTATATACGAATCTAAAGTCAGAATTTAAAAATTTAATATGGCTGATTAACTATGTCACGAAAACTATTTTAAATTCAAGAGATTTTCTAGAAATTTGAAAAAAGAAACTTTACGAAAATTACAGTAAATTTCTCGGGAATCCATTTTTCCAATACTAATCCGGGATTTTCTAGGGAATTTTCTGAGAATCAATACCTTGAGAATATTCAGGTATATTATTAAGTAGGAAAAATCAGTACATTTTTTATTTTAGAAAATTATAATTTAGGACAAGTTGCTGATCAAATACTCATAGTACTAAGATTTCTCATTAGAAAGATATGACAGTGATAGACCTGGGTAGCACAGAAACCTTTTTTTAAAATTTTTCAAGTTTACGAAAATCTCATAAAATTTAAAAATATCGTCCGATATATTTTACACAGTTAGAATGATTGAAAATTGACTTTATGTTTATGTAATCAGCTAACCTAAAAACCAGTAACTAACATTTATCATGTCAATCATCTACTCTAAAACATTCTTAGTAACAATTTTCATTAAAAAACTTACATTTAAATAAAATGGTCCGCCATACTGGATCCATAATATTGAATTTTTAAATTCTGACTTCAGATTCGTATTTAGTGACCCCAAAAACCTACGAGTAACATGTTTCAAGCAAATCCAATCACTTTTTAAAAAATTTGTCAGCCATATTGGATACGCCATAGTGAATTTTGAAATTCTGACTTCAGATTCATAATCAGCGACCCCAAAAACCCCCGAGTAACAAGTTTCAAGTATCTCCAGGCCTTTTTAAATAATTGTCAGCCAAATTGGATACGCCATATTGAATTTTGAAATTCTGACTTCAGATTCGTAATCAGCGACCCCAAAAACCCCCGAGTAACAAGTTTCAAGCGAATTAAATTAATTTTTGAAAATTCGCCCGCCATATTTCAGCCGCCATTTTGAAATTTCAAAAAGTGCCATTCGGCATTTAAAAGTATTCCTTTTTAGCTAAATTTTAAGCCTATGCCCGATAATTTAAACATAAACCATTTTTGGAGAGCAGGGGGGTCCCGTTGACGAAGAATGCCTCATATATTTTTTTTTTTTTAAATTTAAGATGTGTCGGTATTCTTCGTTATCTAAAAAAATTAAAAAAAATTTTGTATGTTTATTATTATTGTTTTTTTTTTTTTTATATTTATTATTATTATTATATATATTTTTTTTATATGTATATATATAAATATATATATTATTTTATATTTATATGTAATATTTTAATATTTTCGTGATATTTTTGAAGAGAAAAAAAAAAAATTTATTGTTAATTTTCAGTATCTGTTTCTGCTTCAGAATCGTAATATTTGTCCATAATGAATGGATATCTTGGATCGTACTAAATAGGAACACCTATTAAATCTGTATGGTATTTATGGGCGTTCCTCTATATTTCTATCGTACAGCTTTCGCATTCATTTGCACGTCTTTTGATAATAAATAATTGTATTTTGCAAAAATTACATTTTAAATTGTTAATATTATTTGACGGAAAATGTATACTATAAAACTCGTTATATAAATTTCTATTTTCGCTAGTGTTAAAACAATTGTCACATAAAAGTTCGTTTTATTTTTTATAAACAACATGATGTTTGTACATCACGCAGCAGTAAAATAAGGACAAAATATGTTTAATAATTAATGCTTTTTTTTGATATGTGTTCTCTTGAACTTCATTTGGTTGTTGATCGATTGGAAGCATCTAAAGAGAACAACAAAAAAAAAAGTAAAAATTGTTTTTTTTTTTTCTATATATATATATATATATATATACAAACTTATTTGCATGCAAAAACAAAATTTTAAACCATTCTCATGCAGTTTGTTATAAAAATATAAATATATATTTGTTAATTAATAAAAAAATTTTTTTTTTTTTTATTATTATAGGGTAACTGCACCAGTGGTGGATCAATTAAGCCTACTAAATTTATTATTTTGACTTTAAAGGTGTACAGATTTTTTCAGATGAAAAATATAGGGTAATCTTTACAATAGTATGAATTAACAAGTCTCCAAGGACACTATCGTGTAGTTTTCGACTTGCTTGTAACGTTTACACCCCCTCACACTCCCATTCAACAATAAAATGACATTGCTCCAGTCGTGGATCATTTACCCCTTTACACTACACAAAAATAACTTAATGATGTAAATTTTTTTCCAAAAGTATTCTATATGGAAAGAATTGATTACTTTCTACTCTAAAAATTAAAAAAATTTAGACTAAACAATTATTTTTTAAGATTTCATGTGAAAAAGCATAAAATCAACAATTGTTGTATTGCTCTGTTTTCCTAAATATTTTCAAATGATTTTATTTCATAAAACTTATCTATACACCTCCCCTAAACTATTGAAACATTTAGTTCAATTAGAAATAGCTTATTTTAACCTTTTTAACGCTGTTGATCCACCATTGGTGCCTGATCCACCACTGGTGCATTTACCCTATGTTTGTTAAAATTTATTTATTATATATTTTTTTTGTTTCTTTCTATCTTTTCATTTGAAAAAAAAAAATTCTTTGTTATTTCAAAATGCAAATTTTATATTTGCAAGAAAAAAAATCTTTTTTTTACATATATATATATATATATATATTATTTTTATTTTTACTTTTTTATGTATATATATTTTTTTTATTTTTGTTTAAAAGAAAAAATTATTAATATATATTTTACGTAAATATATATATATATTTTTTTTTGCTTTATGTTTTTCTTGATCATTATATGAGAAAGAAAAGAAATACTCTTAAATGCACATGTTCTTGCATTTATCTCAAAAAAAATCTTTAGGGTTTTTTATGATGTCATTAAAAGAACTCCAAATTTTACGAGCGAAGGGTAACGTCAAATATATTTTTCTGATAATTTTTGTATTATTGATTCAGTTTCCATTTTTCTGTGAGAGTATACACTTCAGAAAAATGGATATTTTAGATTTTGATTTTGAAAATTTAGATTTGTTATTAGACAAAGTTGTAAATAATAGTACACAAAAAGAGTTAGATAGAATAATAAGTGAAATAGATATTGAGGAACATGTTGAAAATAGTCAAGAAATAGATAGTGATTCTGAGTATAGTGGTGATGATGAGGTGAATCATAGGTATGAAATTAATAAATGGGAGAACAATATTTGGTCCTTTAGTGATAATAGCCAGAATTTCTTCTTAGTGCAAGTGGGGAATAGGAAAATATATGGACCAAGTTTTTGGTCCACATTACCTGCTGGACAGCAAGGGGAGATTAGAGAAAGAATAGGGGGTCAAATTTTAAAAGATATTAAAGGGGTTTATTTTTATAACGAAAGATTTTTTATTATTAAAAACAATTCTCTTCAAATGGTAAGTAATAAAAACAAAATGTTATTAAATAATTTTTAAAGTTAATATTAATAATAAATAATATATATTTGTTTTAGATTGATAAAAGGCTAGTAAAATATGAAGGAAATAAGAGATTTCTTATTTCTCGACCATCTTTCATCTTTAAAGGCAAAAAGATTTTGTGCCCACTAAGATGGTTAGAATTGTGTCAATCAACAAGGAAAAATTATGCAATCCAGATTAAGAAAATTTTATTAAAGAATGATAAAGGTCTCGAGGAGACATTTACTTTTAAAGGATGTCGGTGGAAAATTAAAGGAAGACTTCATAAATTGGTTCGAGTAAGGAAAAATTTATAAAAGTTAAAAAAAAAATTATCTATTGGTAAAATTATTTATGTTAATTTCTTTGTTTTTAGGTTTATGATTAAAAAAAAGACTGTTTTTCAACAATATTGTTTCTGTAGGTAAGTGTTTATTTATTTTATCATGTTTTTATTAAAAAAAAAAAATTTATTTATTATTATTATTATTTATTTATTTATTTTTTTAATTTTTTAATTATTTATTTTTTTTTTTAAAGAAATGTTAGAAGTAGAGTTATGAAAGAGTATTAGTAAAAATAAGAGTTAATTTACCAAAAATTTTCCTTTTATTCCTGTAAATTAATTATTTGTATTCCGTACATGCAGTAGGATTGACAGTTGAACTAGAAAATATAGAATTTTTATATTAGTTATCTTTTTAGAAGTACTTTTGTACGAAAGGGCATGTCCCTTTATGTTCCAAATAAATAAATAAATGCAAACCCTAAATAATGGCAAAAAATTTCTTCTTTTTTCTATTGTCAAAGAAATTTTTGGTAAGGGAAGTTCAAATTCAAAGACGAAAAATTGCAAAAGTTCTACGATATTTTGTTGTCCGGTGGGTGGTTCAAATTCTCTGAAGGATACATTACTGTATATTTCTGTTATACATGGAATTGTAGACATAGTTGCTGTTTTATCTGTAGTGTTTGACATGCTAAAAATAAAAAATAAAATTTACTTTATTTCTTCTGTATTTTGAGGGTTTCATTAGATAATTTATCAATTATTTTAGTAAATAATTTCTTAGAATTATTTAAATAATTTGTTAATAATGGCATGATAAAAGAATCTGAAGCTTCTAATGAAAAAGGAGATTCGTTTAAGTGTTTGTTTTCCAAGAAATATGTTGAGTTTATAAGGGTTAGATTGCAGGAATGTTGTATTCTTAAGATTCCGGTATCTTTTAATGTTAAGTTATATTGTTCGGAATTTTGACATAATATTTGAATTTTTTCTGCGTAAGGAAGAGAGTAGATCCATCCGTTATGATTTTGTAGAGGAGTCCAAGTATTTTGTGTTTATAAATTGATTGAGTATTTGCATCTATTACTCATTGGTTTAGTAAGTAATTCTGTTTCACAGTTTGGGTATTTGAAAGTAGAGAATGTTGGAGCGTTTGTAAGACATAGATTTCCGTCTGTTGTGTTATAACAAGATTTTTTAAATGAATCGTTAGTTATTGGTAAATATATTTGTTTATCTTCTGTTATTGCTATATAAGATAGTTTAGATAATATATTGATTGAAATGTTTTTATTGGTATCTTTTGTAAGAATAGGTACTGAATGTATTTTAAATAATTGAAATTGAGGAGAAGATGGTATGTGTGTTGAAAGATTAAAAATTAAGTGATTTTTATAAATATGAAGATTAATTCTTGAGAATGGTAAGATTTTTGATGTATAAAAGAAAATGTTTTCCATGTTAAGGATAGGGTTATTTTTTGGTGGTGTTGGTAAAATGTTGGAAAGTAGAAAAGAATCCCAAAATCCATTAGAAATGTGTATAAGACTTTCAAGAATATCTAGAAGGAATTTAATATAAGTATTTTGAATTTCATGTACGACATTAAAAAAAGTTGTTATATTACTTCGATTACGTTTTCCATTTTTAATATATTCGCGACATGTTATAATTGGGTAAATTATTTCTGACATTTTTGATAAAAATTTGTTTTCATATAAAAGTGAATTGTTCTCTTTTGTATTGAACATATTATTGTTGTTTGTTATTTGTGAAAATAAATTTTTAATATTTAAGGGTAACTCGTTTGTCCTGTTTGGTAGGATATTAAAGATTCTTTCTATTAAATTACTTATCATTCTATCTTTTACGGTAAATTCAGTTTCTTCTTCAAGTGTATCGCAGTTTTTACAACCTTTGTGTAGTTCATTATAAATTATCGTTATATTATATTTAACAAGAATAAGTTGAGTAATATTTAGGTAGGAGATGAAGTGGAATTCTTCGGATAGAATTTTAAAATCAATGTCCTTTTCAAAAAGTAATCCTCCAGGATGAAGAAAAGGTGTATTGATGTATTGTGAATGGGTTGTTTTTAGAAGTAACAAAGTTAATAGAGGATACATTTCGAATCTGAAAATGAAAAGAATGGGAAATCTAAAATTTTATTTATACATAAGTAGATTTTGGTCGGTTTTTATAGAAAGGTTTTAATAGTCGAGATAATGCAGGAATTCTACTTGGAGAAGGGAGTTGTGTGCTTTTGTTAGTTTTGATTATATTTTTATGTCTTCGGCATTCTGTGGTAGAGTGTAGAATAGTGTAACAGTATTTACATGAATTGTGCCACGATACTAATTTTGGACGCGGATCTGTTTGAACTTCCTGATCTTCAGTTTTTCTTGTATCAAAATAGTTATAGACTTCATCATCACAAAGATCATAGGTTTTTATTAATAATTGTAATAAGTTAAGTGCAGCTTTGTTTTCAGATAATTCTTGTGTTTTGCCTGTTTGTATTATTAGGTGTTCTAACACCATTAATTGTGTTACAAAATATGTGTCATTAATGTTTTGACTGACGTAGGATGTGATTTGAGGTGGCGGAAGGCCATATTTAATTAAAAAATCTGATAATATTTTCATATGGTTAAGGATGTGCATAGAGTTGCGTCTGGTTTTTCTTGATCTTTGAGTTTGGCGTGGTTCTTCGTAGGTATGATCCATTTCCTATTAAAATGGAAAGAATCAGTCAAACTTTAAAATATTGATTAGGTGGTCTGTAATTACAGTTTAAACATTTTTTGAAATTTTTAGTAGTGTTACTGGTTTCTGGTTGAAAAGAAAATTCATGTTTATTACATTTATTAATCATTTTCGCGTTTCTAATTAATTTCTTTTCTGGGTGTATATTTTGTATAGGTTTTTTCTTTGGTGGTAATGAAGGTTGGTTTAAGTTCAAATTTTTTATTGAGTTTACTATTTTTGTGTTGACTTGTTCATGTTTTTTAGACACTATATGTAGTACTTTTGATGCTGCTTGAATTGATGCGATTTCTGAGATTCGTGCAATTGCGCTTTCTTTAATGTTTCCTACTTTGCAAACTACTATTATGTTCTGTTCGAGTGGTGAGATTTTGTAAAAAAAGGATGAATATTTTGGTGTTGACATTCCAATTGTTTTGCATATTCTCTCTAGTTCGTTTTCTACGTTTATCATTCAAAGGTAATTAATAGGAGTGTTATCAATATCAGGTAATGTTTGTAGAAATTTAAAGGCAACATGCTCTTTTACCAAATCTGGGTCGTTTCCGATACCAGTATAGTTAAATTTATCGTGTTTAATTGTTATTTCGAAGATTAGTTATTTGTTATGGTCTTCAGTTATTTTATATTTATAATTGATTGGTGGTTTATTAGTCATGCGCATTATTTCTTCGATTCTTGCTGAGAGCTGCATGCTGAAGTTTTATTCTTGTTTTTGTTAGAAGTTGAAATTAGTGTTATTTTTATTTAATTGATATAATTCTTGGTGAGGGTAGATATTTGATTCGACTGTATGTATATTACCTTGTTTTTGTTTTGTTGGATCTTTTTCTTCTTCTTCTTCTTCTGGAACTCTGATTTGTTGTGTATATTGTGTATCTGGTTTCTGTGGTACTTCTGGTTTTCCTAAATGTAAAAGTAAATTAGTTACTGAATCCCATATGCATCCTAGTAATTGAAAAGACCATCCAAATACAGTATAAAGTGTGTAACCGTGAATTATAGTGTCGATGAGCAGTTTGATTGTTCTAATCATAATTATGATAATATTATCTGTCCGGTTATAGTGCGTGCTAAATTACTCAAAACCATTGGTTTTTCCGCCGAAAACATTATGTGGTTATGTAATTTACTTAAATCTGCTTGAGAATAAATTCCGCTTGTTGCTAAAGATGAAGGGTTAGTATAATGCCACGTATGTTGTGTTGAAGGTTTCATAATAGTGGGGGGTACTGATTCGACAGGGTTTGGTATTATTTTATACCATGTTTCTCCTAAGAAATACATTAAGGGAATAAATGAATTACAATTTGTTTGTGTTCCTTTACTAATAATTATGTGGGTCTTAGGTGTAAGAAACATAGAGTGATTCCCTTTAAAAATGGGTAAATGTAGAAAACATTCTTCTGTTTTACGGTATTGAACTTCTACTGGGACACATTTAATTATATGTACTACTTCACCGGCAATAACAGATGTATAGCCTGGTCCGTTCATTAAGTTATATGCGAATTCATCTGGGGATTGAGATGCTAATGTTAATGAATTTTTAAATACTTTTTGTTCAAGCTCATATTTTTGTATTAGGACATCATAATATAATTGTTTCATTTGGGTACGAATATGTTTTTCAGTATAGACAAATTTTGAATTTACATATGTAAATAGGTCCATATTTTGAACTGTTACTTCTCTATCCTTAATGATTGCACGTTCTGGGGTTGTTTCAATTATTAAAAGTTTAGGATGTTCTGTATGATACATACCATAACTACAAACCGCTGTTTGTGATTTTTGAGTAAGTACGAATGTTATATCATCAGTATTTAATGAGTATAATATTTCTGAACTGTTTGAGTTTATTTCTTTAGTTTTATTTGCGTATCCTTGATATATTACTTTGTATTTGTTAAGTTTACAAATATCTTGGGGTACAGAATCCAAAAAAGTTTGTCCACCTTCTAAATCAAAACAATTTAAGTCTGATAAAAGACATGTAACTCCTGATTTCAGATGAATTTTATTTGTGTTTACGTTAACTGATGCGTAATATTCTTTTACTGTTATTTTTACTACTGCTTGAACAATTACGTTATTCCATGTTCCAAGTGGGTCTGAATATTGAGTTCCGTCACAAGATCCGTCAAATGCTAATGATCCTGCCATTAAAATGCTATGATAAGTTGTTTGATTAACTTTTAAGCCTGAAATTTGAGCACTTTGTCCTAAAATTATTGTGCCTCCTGAGTGTAAACCTTTACATTGTTCAAAAGTAACTTCTTGTATGTATTCGCTTATTCCATTGGCCATTGCGGAAATATGAGAACTCATTCCACAATGTGAAATTGTTCTAGTTATTTGTATTTTACATTGTTTAACTTTAGTTAGTGTAAAATCAGCTATTTGTATTAATTGAATATATTGTGATTCTGTATGTACCTGAGGTTCAGGTATGTCGCAATCTCCTACTTCCAGAAGTGATATTGTAGTTATATTAAGCATACTAGTTCCGCAATCAAATCCAATGAAAGCCTGTATTGACGTCAGGTATAAGATCAAGAGTATCAGAATTTTTCCTGCCATCATTCTGATAGGTATCTCTGTAAAAAGAGATTTAGTTAAAATGTTTCTCTTTTTCTCTCTATTGATTTGATAGTATTTTATATTGTTATGTATATATTTTTGTATTTAAACTACCTCTTGTAATATGTCTGCAAAAATTTCTTGGTTTGACTCACGTAGACTATTTATAAAAATACGAAAAGCGTATGGTCCTCGTGTTTTTATGGTTAATATTATATCCTTTTTTGTTTCTAATGTATTGAGATTATCTTTCCATCTTGGTACATTACAGTCGTCCAGATTAAATATTCTTTTGTTAAATAAATGTGGCCATATTCCAGTTCTCCTTCAATTAATTCTGATGATTTAAGTGTAATTTTGGGCATTTTATAGTTTCTTCCTTGTTGTTCAATATTTATCTGAAAGAAAATTATATATTTTGTTTTATTTTTGACTTTTTGAGTCTGTTAACATGTACTATTTTTGGTGTATTCTTTATTTCAATTTTAACATTTCCTTTTCCTAAGATTTCTAGAATTTTATGAGGTCCAGTATATTGATCACCAAATTTCTTTGGTTTGGGTCCGCTTAATAAAAATACTTCGTCATCTATGTTAAAATTTTGGGGGTTTATTTTTTTGTCATAATATGTTTTTGATTTTTCTTTTGCGGTAATTAGATGTTCTCTAGCTATTCCTCTGATTTTATGTAAACGAGTTATTAGTTTTATTAAATAATCATCGTATGTTTCAAGTTTTTCATGATCTGCTGGAGATTCACTAGATGGTTGTCTGGCTAGTTTGCCGAAAACTAATTCGTATGGGGTGCAACGTGTTCCTTCATGAATACTAGTATTATAAGAAAAGGTTGCTAATTCAAGTCAATCGTCCCATTGAGAATTTTTATTTACAAATTGTTTTAAATATTCCGCAAGAACATGATGTGATCTTTCTAGAGAACCATTTGATTGTGGATGAAAAGCTGTTGTTTTGAATTGTCTAATACGAAATCTTTTGATGAGATTACTAAGAAAATTTCTTCCTTGATCAGTTAGTACCGCTTTTGGGGAACCAAAAATACAAATAAATTTTTTAATAAAAGCATCTGCTATTGTACTTGCTAATTGATTGGGTAGTGCAATAGCTAAAGAATATTTAGTAAAATTATCTTGTATCGTTAATATATATTCATTTTCTTTTTCTGTTACAGGTAATGGCCCTACTATATCCATGGAGACCTTTTCAAACGCTGTACCTGGAGTATCTGTGATAACCATTGGATTTTTAGTTTTTACGCGCACCAATTTTTTTATTTGGCATTTAAGGCAAGATTGTATATATTTTTGTATGTCTAATTTCATGTTTTGCCAATAAAAATTTTGACGTATTCTGTTGTATGTTTTTGATACACCCTTATGTCCTCCTAACGCCGAAGAATGTGCTTCCTCAATCAAATCTTTTTGTTTCTCTTTGGATGGGAATTGGGTTATTCCCAAACAAATAATTATTTTTAATGAAAAATCGGAAAAAACGTCATTTATAATATTTAAAATTTCATTCCAGGATATATGGTTTATTTCTGCAGTTTTTGATATACTTATTGAATGTAATTTTAATTCTCTAGCTTTTACATATAATGAATTTATAGCTGATTTAATAAAATTTAGTTTATCTGTAAGGTTCAGTTTTATATTTGAATCAATTGGTAATACTAAGTGATATTTATTACCACGGTGATATTCCTTGACTTGTCCTAAGGTTAAATTTTTAAATTTTGGCAATTCGTTTCTTTGAAAAAGTAATTTTGATCCTGTATCTCTAGGTTCACCTGTTATTGAAGTAAAATAAGCGTAATTATCTTTTCGCATTGTAAGTTGGTCTCTACATTCTATTATGTTTCGTTTTATAGGTAATTGTTCGACCGACGGAATATCTTGAGAAGGGGGTGGCTCCGGTGGGGGTCGAGATTTATTATCTGTTGCTTGATGTTGTGTATTTTCTATTTCTGGATTAAGTTTAGGTAAAAATATTTCTTCTAAGGACTCACTTTCACTTTCATCTGTAAAAAATTCTTTGTCACTGGAACTAGTGTCATAATTTTCTTCATTTTTATTATTATATTCTGGGTTAGAAGAATCATTGGATTTATTTATTTCATGATTTTGTTTCTTGGGTCTCCCTCTTTTTTTTTGAAGGGGAGTTTTTCTTTTAATAATTTTTGTTTGTTTCTTCGTATTTTTATATACTTCTTCAGATTCACTAGTTTCTCTTCTTGTATTTTTCTTATTTTTCTTAACGTTTTTCCTTTTTATTTCTTCATTGAATTCGATTTTCTTATTTTCTTCGAGATTTTCATCATAATTTTTCCTTGCTTGCTTTCTTGTTACAACTACATTTATTTTGCAGTTGTTTTTAGTGTTTTTTATTTTCTTTTCTTTCTGTTTATTTGATTTTTTGTCGATGGATTCTTCTTCATCGAATTGTTTTTCTTGAATTTGTTGAAATTTATATGATTTCATACTTGATTCTTCATTTAATTCTTTTTCATTTGATTTTTCTTTCTTAAGTTTTTCTTTATTAGAATTATTTTCACTGAATTCTTCATTATTGGATTCTTCTTCATTAGATTCTTCTTCACTGGATTCTTCTTCACTAAATTCGTCTTCATTAGATTCTTCTTCACTGGATTCTTCTTCACTATAGTCTACTTCATCAGATTCTGTATATTTGTAGTAATTTTCATATATGTAATTAATTTTATTAATATTTTCAATATTATCAACAGGGTTACGAGATAGAGCGTCAGCATTTACATTCATTTTACCTGCCTTATGTATTACATCGAATTCGTATTCAGCTAATTTTAATCTCCATCTTGTTACACTTGAGCAGGGATCTTTTGAATTTTGAAACCATACTAATGGTTTATGATCTGTGACTAATGTAAATTTTCTACCGAAAAGATATGGTCTAAAATGTTGTACACAATAAACTATGGCTAGTGCTTCTTTTTCGTATGTATCAAATTTTCTTTCATTATCGTTTAAGGTACGGGATGTGTATGCAATTGGTTTATCTTGTCCAATTTTACCTTGAGAAAGTATGCCTACAATGGCATATCCTGATGCATCTGTTGTAAGGACAAACGGTTTTGTAAAATCTGGTCTTTGCAAAAGGGGTTCTTCACATAGTTTTTCTTTTAAATTGTCAAAAGCATTTTGTTGTTTTTCAGTCCATAGAAACGGGGTATCTTTTTTTAGTAGTTGTGTTAACGGTGTTGAAATTTTGGAAAATCCGTTTATAAATCTTCTATAATATGCGGCTAGACCTAAAAATTGTTTTATATTCTTTTCATTTTTTGGTGTTCGAAATTTTTGTACTGCTTCTATTTTTTTTGGATCTGGCCTAACTCCTTCTTTATCAATTATATGCCCTAAATATGCAACTTCTGTTTTAAGAAATTCGCATTTGTCTGGTTGCAGGTGTAGGTTTGCGTATCTAAGTCGGTCAATTAATTTATTGAATTTTATTTCGTGTTCTTCTAGAGTTTCTGCATATAATACTATTTCGTCTAAATACACAAAGAGGTCATTTTCAATTAATGAACCTAAGGTAATGTTCATCAGTCTTTGAAAAGTACTGGGGCCATTTTTTAAACCAAATGGCATTCTGTCAAATTCATAATGTCCATATGGGGTTGAAAAGGCAGTTATATGGGAATCTTTTTCGTCCATTGGAATATGGTAAAAACCTGTTGCTAAATCAAATACTGAGAAATAACGGGCATTAGATATTTGGTCAAGAATTTCCAAAATATTCGGTAACGGAAAGTTGTCGGAAATTGTTTTTTCGTTTAATTTTCTGAAGTCTAATACCATTCTCCATTTTCTTTCTCCGTGAGAATCGAGTTTTTTGGGTACAAGAAAAATTGGAGTATTGTATGGTGACTGGGAAGGTTTAATAATTTTGTTTTTTAAAAGTTCGTTCACTTGTCTAGTTATTTCTTCTTTGTGGACTGGTGGATATCTGTATTGTTTTGTTATAATTGGTCGATCGTCGATAGTTGGAATTGAATGCACTAAAAAAGGTGTAGCTTCTAATGGTTCGTCTGGTAGTTGGAATCTGTCAGAATTTGTTGCAATAAGTTTTTCTACATGTGATAATTCTTCTTTATTTAAATGGTCAAGTCTTAATAGTTTTTTAATGTCTTCAATTCTTTTATGAGAAGAAATATTATTAATTTGGTTACAATTGTTATGTATTGTATTTATAGGTTCTTTTGGATTTTACAAAAAATATTTTTTACCTTTAATTTCTAAACATTTTAATGCGTAATTTATATTAACATTATTTTTTAAAAAAAATTCTGAACCTAAAATTCCGTCTTCTGTAATTGGAACGTTATTTGGAATTAAATGGAAAATTGTTGGGAAACCAAATATATTTAATTTAATATTTCCTAGTGTGTATACAGGATGATTATTTATTCCTGTTAATCTTAATATTTCGTCTTGTTCAATTTGAATTCCATGGTCGATAGTATTTAATTTTAATAAATTTCTACCTGCTCCTGTATCTATCATTATATTTGTTGGACATTTTAAACCATTAACTGTTGTAGTTATTGAAGGAATGGGGTTGTCTGTACTAATATTTATTTTTATTTCTTTTATATTTCTTTTCTGTGTAGTAGGTGCATTATCTTCTATTAGCGAGCCTCCCGTGCAGCACCTGTGTTGGGGAGGGGTCTGGAGTTTCCCTGATTTTGTGGTTTAAATCTTTGTTGTTGTGGTTGATATTGTTCTTGTTGTGGTCTGTATTGTTGATTCTGTGTTTGTTGGTTATTGTATATTTTTTTACGATATTCACTGATAAGATGACCAGGTTTTTTACAATAGGAACACTCTTTTTGAGCTTGATAAGTATTATAAGGAGTATTCCTTTGATTAGCTGGATATTGAGAAGATCTGTAATTTGTTTGTTCATATTGTCTATTGTTAGGTTTAGGTTTCCATTGTTCTTGATATTGTTGATGTGGGTTCCATTGATTTTGATAATGTCGATTCTGATTTCGCGGATATTGAAAAGGGTTGTTGTACGTTTGATTCCAATTGTTTGTTCTGTTTGCACTTTGGTAATTAAAATTTTGTTTTAATTGACGACAAACTATGGCTGAATGACCTATTTTGTTACATATTTGACAGATTAATTCTTTCCTCATGATGTGGATTTTATCTTTTTTAGTTTCTAATTTTTCTTCTCTGTTCCT